ACAGAATCACAGAATTTTCAGAGTTGGAAGGGACCTCTAGAGATCATCTAGTCCAACTCCCCTGCTAAAGCAGGATTGCCTAGAGCACGTTACTCAGGACTGCATCCAGGTGGGTCTTGAAAATCTCCAGAGAAGGGGACTCCACAACCTCCCTGGGCAGCCTGTGCCAGTGCTCTGTCTTTTGGGTCTTTACCTCAGGCCAGGCATGGATGCAGGCCAGCGCAGAGCCAACACCAGGCAAAGTGACCCTGGTGTGAGCATGCTCACTGCAATTTGCACACCTGTGGCAGGTTTCTGCTGCCTGAGCTCAGTAAGACTCTGCTGCAGCAGTATTTGGAAGTGATGGACTTGTTTCCTGGAGCATGGCTGTGTGCCTTCGGCAGAGGGCAGTAACATGTGTGCACACCACATGCAGCCTCCCAAAGATGATCAGCCAGCCATCACCCTACTGCCTGCAGTCAAAACTCTTTTCACTAACCTTGAAACCTTTGTTACTTGTTTTTTGTTGTATTTGGTAATAGATGGGGGGTTGTTGCCTTCATTTAAAAAAAAAAAAAAAAAAAGAAAAAGATTTTCCTGTTGCCACCTTTGTATGCTTTGCCTCATTTTTCAATACTGTGAGAAGTGGCAGGCAAAGAATCCTTTAAAAATCTGGAAGGTGGGAATTTTTATTAAAATTAATTAAATACATGTCGGCACATATGAGTACAGCATAGCTCAGGTGAGCTGTCTGTTTCCCTAGGGGTGTCACTGATGCCTTAGTCACAGGGAGCATGGGGGGTGTATGTATGAAGTAGAGTTCGTGCAAGCGTTGCATATGCATTAATTGGATCACACTGGTTGTTTTGGGAATTTGCAACTTCCTCCTCTCCCCACCTTTCCCCGCCATCATTTGTGGTGCCTGTGGGCTTTAATGCAGACAGCTGGCCTCTGCGGACCTTCCCTTCACCTTCCCCGTGGATGTGGCAGTGGAAGAACCCAACAAAAAGAGCTGTAAATACTTCCCAGGCAACGGGACATGGCTGAAGACAGGAGAAGGAGGCAGCACGAACATCAGAGAGAAGAGCAGAGACAAGGGGACATGGTCATTGGCAGCAGATGCTGAGTGGTTGAAGATGGCTTTGAAAGGTGCAGCTGACAGTAGAAAAAATGCAGATGGATTAGATGATGCTCCATTGCCTCCTAGAGGACAGCCTGTTGGCACCGAAATCAGGGTGAGTGCCATTACTTGGGGTTCTTTCTCAAATACCTACTTACCAGGGATTTGAACGTTTCTGACTCTCTTCCTGTCTAACTCCAGCTCCATATAGCACAGGAGTCCAATGCCTAAATCAAAGCACAGTCTGCAGCTGGGCTTTTCAAAACTGTATCCCTTTTTTCCATTGTAGCTCCAGGCACTGGAACCAGCCAGCTGTTCCCCAGACCGCATCTTTAAAGTGGTGTTTGTAGGGAACTCCGGTGTTGGGAAGAGTTCGTTCATCCACCGCTTCTGCCATGACAGGTTTTTGCCTGAGCTCAATGCAACCATCGGTAAGTAATAGGGTTCCTGACTCATCTGGCTAAGGGTGGGAAAGTCAGCCTAGACACATGCTTTTTGCCCATATTTTAGCCCAACTAAAGGTAAAGATGGTCCGTCACCCAATTTCAAATCAATCTTACAATTTCTCTGAACTAAATAGTATTGATCTTGGTGATTGGCCTTGCAATGGCAAGTTGCTTTTTCTCCATCCTGCCTTATGATCACTGTTACCTTCCTGACAGGTATCGATTACCAGGTCAAGAGTCTGATGGTGGATAACACTCAGGTTGCCTTACAGCTATGGGATACAGCTGGACAAGAAAGGTAAGCAATTTCTGTGAGGATGCCCTACTGCTAGGCTCAGTGTAGAAAACTGAGGAAAGGCAAAGAGCGCGTGCACCTGTTTTCTGTTGCTGGGAAAACGGTTAGCTTCATAAAGAACAGACCGTTTTGGAGATTTCCAGAAGCTGTGGCTGCAAAGCAGGGCCTAGGGAGGACTGACGGAAAAGTAGTTTTTCATATGTTGAAACTACTCAAAAGTAGTTTTTCATATGTTTCACCTGCACGCTTGTGGCTTCAGGTAGTCTGTCCGTAAATCACTGTGTGGTGTGGGGTTTGAAGCGCCTCTAGCCCTCAAAGCTCTCCTGCATCAGCCTGCCTCTAGGAAAAGCTGCAGGACATGGCTGCAGATTGGGATGGAAACAAAGCTTTGGATAGACATCCTGTTCTCGGATTCAGCTGTGCTACTGCTGTCCCCAGGAACTCACCACCACTTGCTATTCAGAGGGTGGAAGGGAGTGTGTGAACCTTTCCAGATCTGATTCAGACAGAGCTACCTGAATTAGCTTTACCTGTGGGGAAGGTGATTTGAACTACCCGGCTGGACTCTGTCAGTGAGGTTATTGGCCACTTCCACTGTCCCTTCTGCTGATAGACTTGTGGAAGTGATAATCCTCGATAGAGGGGCAGTGTAGCTTTTTGCGACAGTGAATACAAATTCTCCATTTGAAGGCTCTAGTTTCAAAAGCATGGGCCATCACTAGATGTTACCAGGATCAGAGTAGTAGAGGACACACTTGATCCTCATCTGCTACTAGAGATGTAGGCCCAGTGCTACCTTCATGTAAATTAAGACTTTATTTAGGATACACTTTGAAGCTGAAGATGAAAAGCTATTTCAAGCAGGCTGCTAACCTCAAGAGCCTGGCAAACATATGTACTGGGTATTTTGGGCTAAATATGTTATGGGGGCAGGCCTTCAGGAGGCAGCTGAGGTCATGGGAATATTACAATCCTGAGCTGTGCCAACGGACTAATGATGCTGTCTACCTCAGTAAGCTAAGACCACGCAGAACTGGTGGGAACGTACTAAGTAGGAGTATCTGTTGAGAAGCAAACTGTATCTTCCAAAATCAAGCTTCATGCTGGAGAAATAATGATTTTTGAGGGGACCCTGCTGGTTATTTTAGTGCTGAAGCTAAGCAGTAAGGGGAGCTGTTATAACATGAAGCGTGATATTTTACTGAGGCCACATTGTATCGGGGACCAAATTTAAGATATTGCCTCTGCAGAAAGACCTTAAGGTAAGCACCTGCAGCATTAGCAGGTCTTAGACGTGTACTTGGCTTGGCTCAGTGCTGACACTGAATAGGAGACCTGGGAAGAAGCAAAAGCTTTTCTTGCTTCTAGAGAAATATTAATTACTTCTAACTGTAGGTGTCCAACTGTTCATATCCTCTGGAAGAGATAGAGGAACCTTTTGGAGCGTGCAAGAACTCCTTGGTGACTTCCCTGAGAGTGGTACACGCTACATTTGATGCTTCTTCTGGAGCATCTAGCCTGTCCTGTTGTTCCAGACGTGCACTTGACTGCCAAAGATAGAGTCTGTGCTTTCTCAGTTGGGTAGTTGCTAGAATGTCAAACACTTATTGTAGTGAGAAAGAACTGGCTTCAGGCAATCATCTGAAGCGTTCAGGAGGGTTACTACTTGCTGTAGGTTTTCTTGGCTCTTAATAGAATAGGAGAGCTTATTATCCTGTGCAGGGCTGAAATACACAGGTCTCCAGTGAGATCTCAGTACTTCTGTTGCATTTAATTCCATCAGTTTGCAGTCAATGTGGTTATGTCATGGCCCTGCCACAAATTGCATACAGATTTTAAGGTTTGGGTTTCTTTTTTGTTGGAATTTATTCCCAAAATACAGGTCTGCGATTCTAACAGGACAAAGTAGATGTCTGGTGGGAGTTTCTCCCGGAAATTGTGTCTAACTGCTGATTTTTATGTATGATGGCATTGCTTTATAGATTCAAAACTGGAAACAGATTGTGTTGATGCTGAGATCTTAATTGCTGTTTTGGCAGCACTGGGGCAGACATTATGCATGCCTAGTTTATACTGTGGTACAGCTTAGTCTGCAGATTCCTTTGGACTCTAGAGAGGTCATGTTTTCTCAATCCATTTCCCTTTTTATAGGCAATTACCTTTTCCTATCCCACCTAAACAGATTTTTCTGTTTCTTTCCTCCGGACCTGCAAAGGTCTTCCTTCCTGCTTTCTCAGCACCATGAGTTTGGAAAGACTCCTGCTTACTCATGGCTGTTGGCCTGCCTCAAAGGTGCAAGGATCTGACCTGCCTGTCACCAGTCTGTATGCACCAGCCCCAGGGGACACATCTCACGCACAGGGGCTGCCAGGGCTTGCAGAAAGCCCGCACTAAAATACAGATAACCCCATTCTGTTCCTTGTCATTACAAAACCGTGGTTCTGAGAGCGCCTTTGGTTTCATTTGGACTCAGGTTTCGGAGCATTACCAAGCAGTATTTCCGGAAGGCAGATGGGATTCTGGTGATGTACGACATTACAGCCGAGTGCTCTTTCATGGCGGTGCGGAACTGGATGAGCAGTGTCCAGGTGAGAGCAGGGCCTCAGCTCTCTAATACTGGTGGTACTGCTGCTGCCTTGCACCAGACCAGCTCCAACAGTCTGTCTGTGAGCGACATTCTCCGGTGCCCCAGGAGGTCCTATTGACCATGGGAAGATGAGTTATCAAAGCAGATGCTGTAGGTACTGCCTGTGATAGTCAGTGTGGGGCCAGGGGCTTCTTCTTGAAGATACCAAAGCCAGTGGTAGTCCATTAAATGAGGGAGGGCTGTTTCTGTGCAGGAGGTGGTGGGACATGCCAAAACAGTAGTATGTGTTTGTAAGCAGCCCGTGTCCATTGGGCAACATCTCCTAAACACAGTCACATCACACCTGTGCTCACGCAAGGAGTTGTCCTGGTGTCCAGCCTATGCACAGGAAAGGGAGACGGACCTAGTATATTTAGGCTAAGACCTGCAGCATGCGTGGCACAGTGCTTTACATGATCACATCCTGACTCTGCTTTGAGATTTCTAGATAAAATTGAAATACTAGTAATAGCTTCCCCCCCTACCCCCCATTTGCTTCAACTTTAACAGTTGATTTTTTTAATTTTATTTGTTTACTTGGTGAGTGTGTAGAAATACTGTAGTCTGCCCCCCGCCCCCCCGCCTCACCCCCCCCCCGTCCGCTTCT